TTGCCACCACTGTTCTCGAGCAAAGATTACCAATCACAGAGAGGTTTAGGCAGGTTGAACGTCTGGAGGCTTTTACCATGTCCCTGTAATTTGTCATCAATCAGATAGAGGCCGTAGTCAATAGCTGCTGGATTGTCATTCGTGAATGTCTGTTGGAGGACCTGAGTCATAAAATGATCACCTAATAGGTTTATAAGCCTATTAGAGAGATCGTCACATATATCACTGCAATATCTTTCCCACAGAGCTAATGGGTTGCTTAACTGGGCTTGTAAGAGCGCAGTGACAAATAGCCTTCGTAGCTCACTACCTGTTGCAAAAAGTCTTGCCTCTGCAAAGCATCAATCCCACTCACGATCATCTTCGATCAAGTGCAGAGCGACGCAAGCTTCTCTGAACGTCGGGCACAACACACCATTAACCGTTCTTATGTCCTCAAAAGACTTGAGGCCACGGACGCTAGTCAGCAAAAGACGAAGGTAATACCTCTCTCCGACGATAGGACTGCAGTAGTACATTCTGCCAATGGCAAAGCCTCGCTGGCGAGGGTGCCATTTCTTTCTTCTTTCATCAAAGACAAAATGCTGAGGGAACTCCTGGTAGAGATATTGTCTACCATCGTCGTTTCTTGCATTATAGTCAAAGAAGGCCATCAGAGTTGTCCTGTTTCTTTCGAGAATTCTTGAAATCTCTGCTGCTGATGCCTCAGAAGGGAAATAGACAGCTTGCTGACCTGGTAAATGTACCTGCAGGCTAATTACTGTGGGATCTTCCTCATGCGTCTTGAATTGAAAGAGGTTCCATACAGCTTCAGAGGGCCCAATATACCTGGAGTGAAGGTACTTTTTGATTTCATCTTCTGTATCCTCGATCTCCAACGTGGTTCTGTCCGATCCTTTGTAGACATACTTGTTAATATATTTGACGGCTTCGATACCAGTACAAACTTCAACGTTGATGTGTGCTTTGTATTTCTTTGTAAGGTATGGATTGTATGGAACAACCCAACGGTTATCCATAACAAATTCAGCACCTACTCTTCCGCGTGGTCTGACAGAGTAAAAGAAATTGTTTTGGTCCTCTGTTGTAATTCGCCTACGACGATAAAGAGGATAGCCATTCTCAGGGAGGGTGGTCTCATCCTGAAATGGTTTTGGAAACCGCTTCGAGCAAACCATTAGCCCTTGTGCACCCCGTACCATACATGGACTGCAAGGGTTGATCTCACCACATGGACCATGAAGCATGCAGGATATCACGATTTCAAACAGCTCTGGGTCCTTTGTCTTATCAGGGATCTCTGCGCAGATGATTTGATCAATCTTTTCAGCATCAGTGAAGTTGTCCTCAGGATCAAGAAAGAGCAAGAGGTGCATGTGAGGCAAGCCTCGTTTTTGGTACTCAATGGTACGAACTAATCCCTTATATCGACCAAAGATATTCTTCCTTTTCAAATCGTTCAAAAAATGACGAACTTTCAAGTTGAACACTCTCGCTATCAAATCGGGTCTGTCAAAGGCAACTTGACCAGGGAGGAGCTCATTGGTAATTTCTGCCCACTTGGGATTGACCATAAAGGTGATAAACAAAGATGGCTTCCCAAAATGACGGACGATGGCCATAGAATCATAATACAATTGGGCCATGAATCGAGGGCCGCCATGGAAGCTACTTGGTAAAATAAATCGACGTCCCAAATTAGCAGCGTTAATTTGGTCGCCTTCAGCAATAGCATCTGCTAATCCGTTATAAACATCAGCCCGAAGTCTATCTTGGTTGTGACGAATCCAGTCTAACTTGTTCTGATCACAGATGGCCCATGCATCCACCAGGAACTGCTGAAAAAGCTTTTTGGCATAAAAGATAGCAGGGAATTCATGCTCTCCTCTCAAATGCAATCTAAATCTATAGTATGCGCGTTGAGGTACTCTGTCCCTTTCTCGTATAGGAAGGTGATCTTCGACGGTAGTAGTAGTAGTAGTAGTAGAAGGAATACTAATATTGATAGTTGGCAATGAAAGTTGCAGGCCCCAATGCCATCCATATGTTCCATGAGGGAATAAAAGTACATAGTGTGTTGGCATGTATGCAGCATGCGTCTGGCTGATACGCTGAAAGTGTTGCTCAAATCCAGTGTTTTGACGAAGACTGTTATTGCCTCTCAAGGTAAGAACAATGTCACGAAAGCTTCTATCACTATATTCAATAGGGATAACCGCAGCAACTTCTTCCATTGTTGGCAAACTCTGAATACGTCTATCACCTCCTTCAATCAGACGCATTCTCATGGAAGGACTGATAACAATGTATGGTGCATTAGTTTCTGTTTGATCATTATTATTACTGTCGCTCTCATGGTTGCTCAATATCTCATGTGCATGACGATATACACGTGCGAAGGGGTTACATTGGGCAAGCATGACTGAAAGCTCTCTAATGATCTCAGGATCAAGGTAGATGTGTCGTACTTGTCTTCGTTCAGCGGCATAACATGGATCAAAGATATACAGCTGGGCGTAGGAAGGCTCACTGCCTTCAACTGGAGCCAGGGGACCTTGACGGTGGCAAAGAGCACCATGAATCTGAAAGGCGTTTAATCTACCTCTATTGTTATTGTTGTTGGCACGATCCTCAGGCGAAACAATATCGCAGCCCAACGAAGTAAAGGCAAAGGCAGCGTTGTACTGGCGAAGGTTGTCCTTAAAGTGGCGGCCTTGAGTGTCCGTACGTTCGAGCAAGCCCTTCAAGTACTCAGGTGGATCAGGCAAGAGTTGCAACTGGGCTGATCCTCGCTTGCAACATGACTCCCAGCTAGGATTTCTCATCGAAGATGTCTCGCCTTTCATCAATCCAGTGTAAGGCGTGACAGTGTAAGCATTCCTTGTCCATACGTCCAAGGTCCAAAGGACGAAGGCGAGAAAGCTGCGAGATATAGGCAGTAGGAATAGTCTGAGAAGGTTCTACTCTAGGTCTTCTCCTACGCCTTACCTGGCTGCCTTCCTGCTCTTCTTGTTCAGCTCGACGTCTGCGTCGTGATGCTGCAACTTGCTCTCTGCATTTTTGGCAGGTACGGTAAGCTGAGTCAACTGGTAAAGGTGCATGGCAGGATGAGCAGTTGGTAGTAAGTGCGGAAACGGTATTATTGTTTATGTAGACTAATGTAAGATCAAGCGTTAGTGAACAGGTCCTAGTGCAATGCCTTTAAGAAAGTGCTTATTTTTGCATGTACCTAAAGGTTAATAAAAGATTGTTTAACCGTATAACAATTGGTTCATACAAAAAAAAAGGATTAACTACTCTTCATCTTCATCAGATTCAAATATCAAGACATCTTCAGCGGGACCTGGAAGAGAACGACTGTTTCTTTTGACAGGATCGAAGGGCGTCTTATTCTTATTCCAGTAAGTAAGTAATCCTTTTAGACAACAGGGAAAGCAAAACAACGATAGAACACATGTGCCATTGCATCTGGACTTTCCTATCCACTTTGATTGAAATCCAGTGAATATTGTTTTCGTTTTGCAATACCAATGGCTTCGGACTGCGCTGCTTCATCCTATCTATTGTATAACCAACAGGTAGATACGTTCCTGCTTAACTAACAGCTATAGTGAGAGTTGGCATAACCAATTGAAGACAAATTATTTACAAAGAAAGAGAAATAGAAGACTGGGTCGCTTAATTTTTATTTTAGTCGATGATGTTCATACAGATTTTATGCACAATACCGCAAGGATGGCTGCTAATATCGGACGTATAAGCTCAGAGATTAGAGAGGCAAGAAAGAGAATGATTGCAGCAGAAGAGGTCAATGAGCTGTCATTAGAAGATATGGTGCAGAAAGTGTATATCGATGAAGAAGCTTGTTATATTGTCAAGTCTTTCACAATGAAAGTAGTATACAATATCTCAACTGAGCAAGGAACCATGACTGCATGTAACTGTATAGATTTTCAACGAAATAGGCGTGCCTGTAAGTATATGTATTTGGTTCATCGCTTCGATAAAGGCTGTGTGGTTCACAGCCAAGGTAGATTGTCAGGATAATAATAAAAGAAATGCTGCAGTATACTTACATTACCTAAAAATTGACTCTAACTTGATAATTCATATCATGGATGAGACAGCACTTATCCAGAATACTGTGGAGAGTAATGATATCGAAGCAGTTACTGAAAGCTCTGATGTGCCGCAATGAGAAGTACCATCTGAAGCTGGAAGTAGAACGGATGTGTTGACAAGCACCACGAATGTATGCAAACAGGCTTTAGAAAGTCGTATACATTTAACTTTGAAAACAACAACAGACTGTTACAAATATATAATGAGCAAAGACAGTTGTTGTCAGCTAATGAAGAGATGCAGCTTCCACCAAATATTAATATGCAAATACAAAGATAAAGCATACAAGTCAGCCACTTCAAGTTTTAAAGTTCAGAAAGGGGGCGAAATAAGTAAATCGTAAGTTTAGTGGGGAAACACTATATGCACCAGAAAGTACACCAGAAGTCAGACTAATACTATGGGCGCCGCCTTCAGATACTACTCGTGATGCCGTCCAACATGACTTTTCACCATCTTTTTTGGTTTCTTTTCAAGAAGAAGAGATAAAAAGAAATGTTATTATTTCTTCATTTACTCTAATTTTATGTTATCAATTCGATGAAAAAAGACTACTTATGATAAATTCGTACTTTATTTAGCCTATTTTCTGATGTATTTTCTGGTGCATGTAGTGTTCATCAATTTAGTGTGGCGTCACACTTTCAAAAGCTTTGTTGGACAACATCACAGGCAGTAGGTAGAAGTAGCGCCCGTAGAATTAGCATAACTTCTGGTGTATTTTCTAGTGCATGTAGTGTTTCCCAATATTCATGTAATGCAATAATTCGCGATATAATCTGGCTGAAAACCACTGTTTGATATAAATATGTTTTAATTTATTTTTTCTATTAATGTACAAAAGATAAACAAGGTGTATAGTGTATGTATATGTTATCTTAGTTATTGATGGAGTATTTGTGACTATGAAAAAATACATTAGTATGTACGTCAAGGTGCCTCTTCTGCCTCCTTTACCCGCATTTTTTACAGTTGTAGAATACTGTTTGACCTTCATCGGCAGAACGTAACTGCATGGTATGATATTCCATTTCTGGATTACCACAGCTTGGACATTTTTCTTTAATCTACATTACAAGTTAGTTCCCTTTTGCTCTTTCTTTCAATATTAACTATTTACAATAGCCCTGGCTTGTTGTGCTGCTTTATTTTGTTGAACCAAATGACGTTTGGCTTTTAAAGAAGATTGAAAAGAGCGTTCGGAAGAAGTAGTGACAACCTCTGTAGTTTCGATTCCTGCTGTTCGAAATGCACATCCACATTGATTACAGAGTATGATATCATCGTCACTACCAGCCATATCTAATAGATTACCACATTCTGGACAAAAGGTAAGTGAACCGATGATATTTGAAGCTGACATGATTATTAACAAGGCGAAAAAGACAAAAAAAAAGGAGGGAGAATAATAAACAAGGAAAATTCAGTCACAGTAAGCCACCTTTATTAATTAATCTATTCATCGTCACTGTCTTCCTCTTCTGCTTCATCCAACCATTCGATAAACTTGGTTGCTCTATCTCTTAATTTGGATTCTAAAGGATTTAATCTAGACGATTCCGAATTATACCAGGCTCTGATTGCATCTTCTTCTACTACATCACTATCATACAGCAGCTGTAATGCTCCCAAAAAGATCTTATTAAGGTGTTCTTTAGTTGCACAATATCTTTGAAGAATTTGCAAGACATGCAATTGATCGTCAGGGGAGTGTGTCATCTTTCCGATCAGGGCTGACCATTTGTTGAACACAGTCTTTAAACTTTGAACAGGACTATTGGCGTCAATATGATCCAAGATGATAGGAACAATGACCTCTCTAACATCTGTGTATGATCCGTTACTTGACATACGTAACCCAGTCACTTCGAGGGCTGCTGTATCTACCGTGTGTCCTTCGTTTATAGATCGTTCAATAGTTTGTGCAATTTCTTTCTTGAACTCTTCGGTCTTTTTAGCCACATTGGGTTCTAATCCCCAAGCACCACCCATAGTATCCATGTCTGAATCGCTATCTTCGGATTCACCTACTTCACTTGCACTTTCGGTAAGATCACCATCTTTGAGAGCAATATCCGCCATGTTGTACGCTAATGAGCCAAGTTTGACATTACGAATGTCAGTGTCTTCATCATCATCTGCACGAAGGGTCCAGAAATAGATGGATTCACCATTAGGTCCTGTGAGTGTATGATGATGCTCTATGTTTACAAATGAGTATATTCGATCAAGAATGAATAGCCCTCCTTACCTTCATCTTCATCTTCCTCTTCACTGCTCTCTTCAAACATGCTTGTCTTGGGTTGAGGCAATAGGCTGAGTCTCGAGTATTTTTGAATGTTCATGTCAGGACCCACTTTAACCTAGTATTTGGTAAACAAATATGAACCCAAACAATGTAATATGACTTACATTAAGAGATATTAAACAGCCTTGATCAATGCTTGTATTTTCCAGAATGGCTGCATTATTAGTAATAATGCTCTGTCTAACGTGACAATTGCTTTCAATGGTCACATTATCCCAGAGAAAAGCACCCTCTACCACAACATTGTCCCCAATCACACAATTCTTTCCAATGACTGAGTTAGCAATACGGCTGTTTTCACCAATTATTGAACCCGAGCCAATTTGAACGTTATCATCAATGATACAAGATCTGGATAATTTGACATTTCTTGCTTTATAAATGTTTCCTCTGCTGAATTCGTAGTCATCTCCTTCTTTCAGATTGGTCTCCGGTACGATAGGGAATGCCCATCGGTTCAGGATATGCTTACTACCGAACGGTCAATAACTAATATTACGTCTACTGGTGGTCATTACCTAATGGTGCTATATAACTTTTCGTTCTGAACACGAGCCAAATAGGGTTCAGTAACGATCTTTGTGTAAATCGTCTTACCCAAAATATCCGAAGTAAGAATACCGTGCACAAAGTCACTACGCAACTTTTGCCAATCAAAATTTTCGGAAAAGAGTGGAGGAACTTCGACAGAGCAGATGTCAAAGTACGGGTCGACTAGATCATTACGAAGTTCAATTTGAGTTCTATTTTCGAATACTTCCTGTGACATTTCGATACGCTTTTTGCGAGGAAGAGATACGACGGGTTCATAGTAGACACATTGATCTGTTCGAGGATCGAGTACGAATACACTGCTGGCATCCTTCGCCCTGATCAAATAGAATAATATGTGCATTTGAGTGTTATATGTATATATATATATATAAATATATATATGAATACCTTGATGTGTGAGTTCTTGTGGCCTCCTTCAAGATCATTGTCATGATGGAATTTTTATCCTTCTTTCTACGCGCTCTATGCTCTTCAAGTGCTTCGTCTAATTTCATGTTGGATACAAGTTCGCTGGTTGTCAAGACAAAATCAGTTGTAATCAGTTGACGAGCATCTAATTCACGAAGTGCATCACCTACAGAAAGACATTCAGGTGCTGCAACAATCTGAATAGAAAGTTTGGATCTCGTTCGGTCTGAATTACTAACAGGTGTTTAGCTGTATTGTAGTTAAAAAATTTTCCTTGTTCTCTTACTCAAAATAGGATTTAATCGCGTCAATATGAGAAGTACAGACAATAAAGACTTCAAAGACATCAGCAGCAGCCAAGACTTCCAAAGTGTATTCAATAGCCGGAATATTACAAATTGGCATAAGACACTAATATGACAACATGAGGTCAATGTATTTCTGTTTGTTTGTGTATTATTTACTCTAGGTATTTCATGGGAAATAGGAAGGAACTGTTCCTCAAATGTATCTGTTAGAATAACAGCTTGAAACGACTCTTTTCCGTCTTCTTCAGTACTTGTATTAGGTTTTTTCTGCTTTGGTGGCATTGGAGAATAATAAAAAGGGAAATGTGGTCAACAAAAAAACAAAAAAATAGCAAGTGAAATTAACAGTCTCGGTCAAATATATTTGTTTGCAAAGGTTTATATTTTTATGTGTGGCTTCTGTACATTACAAAAGATGCCTCGAGAAAAGAAAGAGATTGTGATGCCAAGTAAAAAGTCAAACATTTTTTATGAGAACTGGAAGGTGTATTCTCGTCAACATAAACTAATGTTTCGTTGTAATGAGTAAGTGTAATAGTTCGTAGATCCTTTATTCTAACTCCAAACAATAGGAAAAAGGCACAATGGTACCTCAAGAGAAATTTGGCAAATATAATAGATAGTGAACCAAAGGCAATAGCTTTAAACTTTGAGACAAAGGGAAATGGGCATAAAGAGGGTGATTATATGGTCCAGGATAGATCGAATGTGTGTGTTGGTTGTGGACAAAACGAACATTTGACAGTTCATCACGTTGGTAAGCTATCAGATAACTTTTTATTATCACTATATTAATGTAGTAGTTCCTGAAATGTATAGACATTGGATGCCACTGGTGATCAAATCCAAGTCAGTGAATTAACCCATACTTACCTTAGACTAACAATACAGCAGAGTAGAGATTTATTGTTATTATGCAAACAGTGTCACACAAAGTATGAAGCAGATGCAACCTTATTAAAGAAACAATATGCGAAACAATTTGATATACCATTGGAAGGGAAAGGTTGGGTAAATTTGCCAGAGCATAGAAAAGCAAGAAAGGCAGCATCTGCTTTGATCCATGCTGCTGATAAAATACCACAAGAGAGACAGGCTGTCTTGGAAACGATTGTAAGAGACTTTTGGAAGAAGCACCATGATGAATCAGTTAATCGTGAAACGATGCTAAAGAGATGTAGCGAGTTAGAAGACTTTTATAAGGGACCTGATTTTATAGAACATGGGCAAGGAGTGATAGGACAGCTGATGGAACGTCATATCGTGGAGGGAGAGTTATCCTTTTGGCCTGATTTAGAAAACTTTATTAAAGAGTGGCGACAACATTTCATAGACCATCTAAAGCCAACTCACTTAAGTGAGTTATGGACTGTAGATGGTGACATTTATACTAGATGAACTTACTAAATTAAAGCCATGCTACCTTATTCTTGTTTTGATTGAATATGTAATTTGTAGAATTGGCCACATCTTATGACATAAATACATATATTGAGCTATTTGTATGTTTAGCATCAGAACGCTCACTTTGTATTTCGAAATATAATAAAAATAATAGCAAGTGTTTTTGTATGCGATTGGAATATACGTGTACAACAATTACAATGATAATAATTACAAAAAGAGGCACCTATTGTTCATCTTTTACTGCCAGACAAATAAAGCACGCTAATAAGCTAAATAACCATCTTAGTATACATGTCCATTTGCTTATGATAAATAGCATACCAAGATATGCAACATGAGTTATTTTTATGTACTCTTGTCTTTTCATGAACTATGATTGATTCGGGTTTAGGTGCAGGTTGATATACTATTGTATGCATGAGTTAAATAGAAAAACAGAGTTTAATAGGATTACTTGAAGGTGGTTTATGGGATATGCTACTTTGTACTTGTGGTGTATAATAGCGATTTGGTGATAATTCTTTTTTTTCTGGCATTCTATTCAAAGAAAAAAGAAAAGAAAAAAGAAAAGGAATAGAAAAAAGCACATAGCAAACATTCAAGATAAGCTGTGACACACTGATGTAATTGGCAAGGAGCCGAATTACAGATTAATTATAAGAAACAAGACTAATATATTTCCAAGCTATTAAACTGATGATCTACCATAAAGCATTACGGCGTTTGTTGTTGTTTATTTCCTAAAATAACGTAGTAATCTTATGACTATCATTTTCATTTGAGATCATATGTACAAGGCGACATGCTTGCTTTTATAAAAGAATACAATAATATAAATGACAAGTGTCTGATCATGTATTTATAAAAGAGAATCAAGTCCTGACTGTAAGAAAAAGGACAAATCATTTTATTTCAAGACTGTAGAGGTGCTCTCCATTAAATGATCAGTGGCGGCTTTGTATGTTATCATCTGTTGATGTTATCGTGAGTATATTCCCAACGGTAGTTTGTATAAGCTCGACGAAGCATGTAGTATGTAAAAAGATGAAACCCAAGACTCTGGATGATATTGGGAATAAGAGGCCAATGAGCCTTATTTAATCAAATCATCCAAAGTACAAAAATTAAACACAAGAGACATTAGTGAAGTGTAAACAAATTAATAGGCGATCAGAAGGGGTTGACTTTGTATCTTTTAGTCGAACTCATTGTTGTCGTGAAAAACAAATGAAACAAATATATAAGCCCTTCTTTTGCTCAGAGAAGGCGTGAATGTGAAATAAGCAAAAAGTGGGGCAAGTATTGTACGGCTACTACATAGCCAGTCTAGTGTTGTGAAAAAGTAATATACATCATCACAATCCCTTCACTCCTTTCGCTTTGGTGTCTTTGTCAATCATTGCACATTTGCAGCTGTAGTTTATTTAAAATTCACGCAGTAAAGTCTGTACTTCAATAACAGCTTCACTTGTATCTACTACTTCTACTTCTTTCTGTTCTCTTGTTATTCTTCTTTCTGTTCTTTTCCGTTTTCCTCTTCCTCTTGGTAATCGTCTTCTTTTATTCTTACAAATTCAACCATAAGTTCACAATGCTCAGTTTGAGGAAACAAGTCAATAGTAACAGCACGTGAAGGCTTAAATGGCAAGCCCTTGTACTTGTTGGATTGAGGTCTACAAAGACTAATATAGAGAATGAATATCTCTCTAATGTATATATGTAGCATCATCAACTTACGCAGTAAAGTTATCTACTGCTTGCTTCGAGTCACAGCTGATATAAATTAAACGCTCTATGCGTGAATTTTCACGAATGGCACCAATTACACTGGGATGAACGCCGTTTCTACAAACACAATTAAAATACAGCATGCTTTATATACAATCCAACTTTACCTTGGTGGATCTAAAACAGCTACAATTTCTTCGTTGCGCTCATTCTTAACATGATGCATTGCCTTTTCGACTCTGCTGGCATAATAAGTGACATTATTTACATCTACATTTTGGTTACTACTAATGCTCTATTTTGTCATATGATCTCTTACCATTCAACTGGGCATTTATCTTGGCATCCTCAATAGCTTCAGGGACCATTTCAATACCAATGACTTTATCAACCGACTTGGCCATAGTAAGGCCAATGGTACCTGTACCACAGCAGAGATCAAGCAACGTTGTTTTTTTACTGCTGTCAATATTACACCACTCTGCACACTTGGAATACAAAATCTCAGTAGCAGGTGTATTAATTTGAAAAAAGGAGTGAGCAGACAGACGGAAGCGCAGACCAAGCAATTCTTCGTGAATATAACCGGTTCCAGTCAACGCTTCGATAGGTGCCTTATCTGTAATACCATTAGAAGAGCCATTCCATTCTTGAAATAGCAACGTGGTGACTGAGATATCACTCTTTTCTTGCCAAAATTCAATTAAAGCTGTCTTTTCCTGTTGTACTCTTTCAGGGGGCACATCAGTAGAGCACATTTGGATCAAGATCAGCACTTCGCCTGTGCTAGGCGTTTTGGTCATGATGGTACGCCAGCAGCCTTTCTTTTCGACTCTGTCGTATACTGGAAGATCAGATGCACTGATATAATCCGTCATGTATTTTGCAATCTTCTTGGCTGTTTCTGGTACAATCAAGCATTCATCTGGTTCCAAAACAGCTACAATACCTTCACGGTATAACCCCAAAAGGAAACCAACTGTGGGTTCATCATTTAAGTTTTTACCAATGGTAAATTCACACTTGGTACGGTAATTTTGAAGTACTGGTGAGCCAATAACTGGAAGTAATTCACATGGAAGCATTCCTCTATATATGGATGGTAAGGAGTCACATATACAACAATAACAAATCTTTACTTGTCACGAGCCCAACCAATTTGATGCTTCGTTTTATCATCACAAAAGCCAGCCAGTTTCTTTTTAAGTGCGGCCAATGCCTTCATTCCATGTCTATTCTTCTTGACCAATTGTTGTTCATAATCCAATCTGCAAATACTTAATAAACCAGGCCAAGAATGGCTCCCCTTCAGCGCTTACCTCCAAAAAGGCGTTACTTGATCTGCTAATTTTTCAGCGCTAGTACGTGTATCATTTGGATCCGCTTGTTGCTTCTTCTTTTTACTAAATCTTTCACGATATTCAACTTCTGATGTAGGATCATACTCTGCCTTCAATTCGTTCTTTTTAAATGTGTGTCTATCCAACTTTTTGACGCATTCCATTGCTTCTTCTTCATTCTTTTTGTGTTGATTAAAAGATTATTATTAATGTGATGCAATTATAACTAATATTTACATTAACAGTGATGAAGCAATAGTTCCACTTGGGTGCTTTCTTGAGACGTGTGTATCCTTGAGCTTTTAAGAATTTCTTTAAGCTGGCATAATCAATCTGTGGTAAATTAGACACTCTGACACGATGAAGAACATTATCAAGTTTTTGCTTTTTCGCAAGTGCGTTTTCTTCTTCTTCCTCTTCTTCCAATGGACGTTTTCTACCAAAGACAGTATCTATAATCGATCGTGCAAATCTAAGCATGATTAATAAAGAGAGAGAGATGAAAAAATTTGCAAAAGGATATAATATATAAAAGAAATGATTGGTGCGGAATATGAATGTACACTTGTTCAAGGAAAAGAAAAAAGGGTGTATTTTATTGTTCATGCGCTTTATTCAGAAATTACACTGATAGAAAAATGCTAACTTCAGAGAACAAAGAATAAACGAAGCAAAAGAATGATTAGTAAATCAGTTACATGTTACTTATAGTGTTGGCCACATTTATCTTTTATCTCAAAAATATCAAGCTCATTTTATGTATTAAATATTGTCTTCTTAATAATAAAGCAAAGATTGATAACCAACAAAGTGTAATTGCTAATCGATGTGCGAGTAATTTCTTTATTGTTTATATGAAAAAGTGTGTAAGCTGCCGACTTTGAGGGTGAACATGCATATGATTTAACTTGTAATCATTTAGTTCTTTCTTTATGTCTAATGCTAACTCTGGGGTAAGATTTTGGCAAGTATATGTGTTATCAGAGCGTCTATCGTATTCAGTACTGGAGAATGTTTCATGCACTCTAACAGTAGAACTAAAAGAAACCTTGCTGTATATTGTAGATGAAGCTGGTGAAGGAAGTAAAGAAAAGTATTTAGTCAATCGATTTATCTTTCTTGAAGAAACACTTGAAGCAGGAGAATCAAGTAGAATAATGTCTTGATTTGGTTTCTTTTCGGACATGCTTCTTGTCACGTTAAATGCCCTTTTAATCTTTTTGCCAAATGATGATGAATATCTCTTTTGTGATTGAAAGCTAGAATTAGAGCTGGAAGGTGATAGCTGAAAGGTATATGAATTTCTTTTACTACTATTACTACTACTACTACTACTACTATTGCTACTATTGCTACTATTGCTACTATTGCTACTATTGCTACTATTGCTACTGCTACTGCTTCTATTACTGTTACTGCTGTTCTTATTATAATCATTATTTTTATAATTGCTATATCTCATCATTGTTTTCAACTGCTGCTGATGCAAGTATTGGAGTTGATTTAAGCTTGCTTGTAGCTGCTCTTGTTGTTTATTCTTGTTTTGATATAACCAAGAATTATGCTGTTTACCCCAGTTCGTGACAGAATTACACTATATATGTATATATGATATGAGTACGTTTATTTTATGTTCTATTAATATTATTACCTTGTTCTCTTTTGGAAATTTTAATGATAAAATATCTGCTAATACCGTGTTATCGTCATCATCCTCCATATATTTGTTATGATAATATACACTCATTATTAAAGTATATACAAACAGTAAGAGAAAAAGAAGGAAAGAAAAGACAAGAAGAGGATAAATAATCCATTGCCCCTGCAAACCCCTTTTGTGTTTTTACTTTTTTATATTTCCCTTGCTAGTAAACAATTGAAACGTTTTTATTCTACATTGTGTTCTCCCTCTTTGATATAAAAAAAAAGGGGACAAGTATCACTTATTCATACTCTGGTACATCTTCAGGCTCCTAAAGAGATAGTGAGTATTCAATCAGTTTCAATAAATGTATGTACTTTTGGTTCTAAATCTTCGCCATACTGCATTGAATTGTCCACGTGTGATAAAACGTATTCGATAGAATCTTCATCTGTAATATTTAGCGGTATAAATTTAACCATACTGTAGTCATCAATCTAAATAAAAAATGTATCTTAATTACACCCCCTTTAAAAATCGCGCGTTCTCCTATACCAATTGTACAATAGCCTGTGTCAAAGCCTGAAACTTTAAACTCCTGGCTGTTGGTTGCTCTTCCCCTTCATAAACAACCTCTGCTTCTTCTGCTATTAATAGTGGATCAGGTTCCAAGTATCTGTCCAATTCTCTTTCTGTCATTGCTTTTTCCATAAGTCTTCTTCTTCTTCTCTGTCTACGTCTCTTTTGGGCTGCTGCACTTTCTTCATCATCCTCATCTTGTTCGTCTTCTTCTTCGCCTGCTCGTTTATTACCATAATCTCCTTCAATCAAATCCATCTTTGTCATAACATTAATATGAGGTATCTCTAGATTGACCATGGCACTCATCGCACTCAGCACACCAGAAAAGTATTTACTCTTGTCTTCAATAAATTGTGATTCCAAACAGTAAACTCCACAAACAGACATATTAAGACGAGCTAATGCCTCGCATAATCTTTTCATAATAGGAAAATGGGTGTAAAGTTCTATTTGTCCAGGGCAATCAAATATAAGGTAATCATCTTCATAGTCTCCTATCTCTTCTTCGAGCCAATCTATATTGTTTACTAAAAATCTAGATAAACAATAAATACGTGCCTGCCTCTTTCTATAAGTCCTTACTCTAAGCAATAGATCAAACCACCATTGGGTCCATAATTCAGTTCTTCCATTACATCTTCTAAAGTGATCAAATCTCTAATGTCTAATATAATCCATGTTTAACATTGTGCATATAAAATAGTCCATTATTGAGTACCAATTGTAGGTTCATATTCAAAGCTTTCTGCAGCAGGATCAAGATTGACAAGGTGAACGCGACGTCCAGCTGTTTGACAATGTGTCATCATGGTAGCGCAATAGGTTGACTAAAGTACAGATTTGTAATCGTCTTTTTTTTTTTTTCAATCTTTCACTTTACCTTCCCGCTTCCTGCAGGTCCCATAACAAGTTGGCAGTGACGACCCCTGATGATGTTAAAATGAGCTATAGTTGAATCATTTTTGTTTCTTACATTATTTGAATAGAAGAGCACAAGTAAAAAAAAAAAAAA